CTCCGATTGGTCCAACGCGCTCGTACTCTGTCGCGTACTCGCCCGATTTCCACGCCGTTTCGTATATAAAGGGACCGCTTCGTCAGTCCCGTTCAGTTTTGTGTATCACGCACAGATCGAAAACCATGCCGCCAAAAGTATCGTCAAAGGGAGCCAAGAAAGCCGGCAAGGCTAAAGCCGTACGCACCGGCGATAAGAAAAAGAAGAGGAGGAGAAAGGAAAGCTACAGCATCTACATTTACAAAGTGTTGAAACAAGTGCACCCTGACACTGGTATCTCCTCAAAGGCCATGTCAATCATGAACTCTTTTGTGAATGACATCTTTGAGCGCATCTCAGCCGAGGCTAGCCGTTTGGCTCACTACAACAAACGCAGCACCATCACATCTAGGGAGATCCAGACTGCCGTCCGTCTCCTACTTCCTGGTGAGCTGGCCAAGCACGCTGTCAGTGAGGGTACCAAGGCAGTCACCAAGTACACCACCAGCAAATAAAGCAGCCTCCCACGCACCCTTTTTTTTTCTCCCCACACAACGGCCCTTTTTAGGGCCTCCAATTACTTCACAATTATGCTTGAGTAATGCACAATCCAAATGAGACTAGTTTGTTGACTGACTCTGGGAAGAAGAGCAAATGAATTATTGCATCAATAAAACAAGCGTGCAAAACCCGTCCTTTATTGTAATAAATAGCGGGACGAATTACTTTTGTTAGGCCTTGGGTAGTGATAGGAAAGAAAAATTATACTAGAGTGATGTACACATACATGACAAAGGATAGAAGAACACAACACATAACATACGCCAGATATTCCTCTTCAAGTTTACAAAAGCGAGAGCTTGGCGGTAATTCTTAATCTAGTAGCAATAGCAGACGACCGCGCCAACCTCCGAGTACGACTAGAGTTGACCAATCAGAAAGCGAACGCTTAAAATAGACCCACAAAAAAAAAAAAAAATGTGCTGAGAGAAAGCTGCGAGGTTGAAGAAAAAAAAAAAATATATATATATATATATATATATATATATATACAGCGGTTGGGTTGGAAAAGAAAGAGTGTTTACTTTGAATTTTCTGGTAGGCCATCAATATTAACTTATCACTTAGCCTTGCAGAAAAACAAAGAAAAAGTCTTTAAAAAAAATAATAAAAATTATACTATATATACATACTAAAGCTCCCAAATAGTGTCTACGGCCATACCACGTTGAAAATACCGGTTCTCGTCCGATCACCGAAGTCAAGCAACGTCGGGCGTGGTTAGTACTTAGATGGGTGACCGCTTGGGAACACCACGTGTTGTAGACATTTTTTTTTTTTTTTTTTCGATATTTAAAAATTATTTATCATTTTCTACATATTATGCCATTAGACGCGCCGCATTTTCTTTTAATTCTAATTTAAGATTAGGGCTGTTTTGTTCTCTAAAGTCAAGCCGACTAATTGTATAGCTTTAATAATAATAATAACGGCTGCTAATTCTATCACTAGGAATAGCTTACTAAATTTATAGTACTGCTATTGAAGATCTTTTGCGAAATCAACGTCGATGTATAATTAAAACAAATGGTCTAAAACACGTGTAAAAAAAATTCCGAGCGAGCTAATGAGAAATAAATTACAAATAATTATGTGGCTGTGTCATAAGGTTGGCATTATACATGCATTTGACTCAAGCTTATTCGTGAAAATTTGGGATGGCCCTGATAAGGGCCGGTGTTTTCTTGACAGGTGTGAGATGCAGCGTTTGAGATGGTTTAACCACCAAAACCGTACAGGGTACGTCCTTGGCGTTTCAATGCGTAGACCACATCCATAGCAGTGACAGTCTTCCTCTTGGCATGCTCAGTGTAGGTGACGGCATCCCTGATGACATTTTCAAGGAAAACCTTTAGGACACCTCTGGTTTCTTCATAGATCAGACCAGAGATACGTTTCACACCACCTCTGCGAGCAAGACGACGGATGGCAGGCTTAGTGATACCCTGGATGTTATCACGCAATACTTTGCGGTGACGCTTGGCGCCTCCTTTGCCTAAGCCCTTTCCACCTTTACCGCGTCCAGACATGTTGATATAGAAGATTTTTACCGAATCGACTGACTGAGCGAAGCGGGCACACTTCCATTTATACTGACGGCGCGCTTGGCTCACTCAACGTGGAGGACGTCGATTGTCATTGGTTACTCCTCGCACTACAGTCCACCAGTGCGAGCCAATCAGGTTGTAGCTCCAAGGCGCTTACATTCACGAATGAATCACTACCGTACCAAAAGAAATCCTCTCCTTTTCCCCTCCCTCCCATCCAAACAACAACAAAAATAGTTCTCCCTCTACCATCCGAATAGGAAGAGTTCTTTCTCAACGATTTATACCCCATCAAACGTAGTTTTAAATATAATGTTATTCATATCTTTCTTGTTTGTTGCAAACTGAAAATTTTGTTTTCTTTTAAATAGATGGGCTCGCTACAAAGAGGGAAACACAAAATATACAACGGTTTATGTGTACCTTGTTTTTTTTTTCTTTTACCACACATGCAAAATATATACATATATTATAGCTACGGTGGTGGCAGTAAATTACATAACGTCAACTCAAAAGCTAATTTAGGAATATGTGTTGGTCCTAAAAAGGACCGTTGATAGCTGGTTTGGGGCCAAGAGGGAGGAGTTTGTTTAAGCACGCTCACCACGAATACGTCTGGCAAGCTGGATGTCTTTGGGCATGATTGTGACACGCTTGGCGTGGATGGCACACAAGTTGGTATCTTCAAAGAGGCCGACAAGGTAAGCCTCGCTAGCCTCTTGGAGAGCCATGACTGCAGAGCTCTGGAAACGCAGGTCAGTCTTAAAATCTTGAGCGATCTCACGGACCAAACGTTGGAATGGCAGTTTGCGGATCAGAAGCTCAGTGCTCTTCTGGTAACGTCGGATTTCTCTCAGGGCGACTGTACCGGGCCTGTAACGATGGGGCTTCTTGACACCTCCGGTAGCTGGTGCTGATTTCCTAGCAGCCTTGGTGGCCAGCTGTTTACGTGGTGCTTTACCACCAGTGGATTTACGAGCGGTTTGCTTGGTTCTAGCCATTGCGAAGTTTCGAGCGACTCGATTGAGATCAAGAATGTCTCAGCGCGCGACCGAGTCAAACTTATATAGGACAGCGTCAGCGCAGTTTTAGACCTGTGCACGACGATTGGTCTATCCGTGAACATCGTTTCTTGATTGGACGTTACATTCTAAGCGCGGCTCGCTGCGTCTCGAAAACAAACTATATCGCCGCGGTACTCTTACTAATAGTAAGAGCTTTTTTTTCCCCCCACCACAAAATTCCTGTATGATCATGAAAAGGAATAAATATTGTCTTTGATAGAGCTAAAGGAACGAAAACAGAAATGTTTAGACGACTCAGTGATGTTATTTACAGGAAAAAGAAAAACATTATCACCACGTTCACTTTATTGAGGCCAACTTGTTGTATTCTTTTCTCCATTCATCATTCATTGGTTTATCTAGAGATTCCTCGTTCTGATTGGTACATTCGTTCTGTACTCGGTTGGCCTAGTTTTAGTTTGCATTGATTGAAGTTTGCGCCAATTTTAATTCTGTGACTTCCCCCCCCCCCCCCCCCAACCCCATTTTAAGGTTTTGATTACCTATATTAATTTATTTGTTTGTGTGTGTGTGTTTTAAATAATCAACTAAACACCAAAAAAAAGTGTGATAAGGTTATTTTTCCTTTTTTTTTTTTAAATTAGATATTAAAAACCAAAAAAAAAAAAAAAAAAACAACTGATGTTTCTTTTCTTGTGCATAAATGTATTATTAGTTTCTTAATGTAATGTCACAGTTTGATACGCAGCATAGAAGTACTAATTCGCTGTTAGCAAGCCAAGCCATATTATCTTAATTAATTAATTTTTATTTATCAACATCCAAGTGACTTGATTAGACGAACTAATTAATTAAGGAATGAAACATCTGCCTTATAGCCTATGTGTAAGAATTAATTCGTACAGATAATTAAAAAAAAAAAAAAAGTGTGTAAATATAATAGTAATGCGAAACAAAATAAAAAATAATTGGGAAACAATTATGGCAATGGGTGAGCGCAGTGTAAACTCAGTTGCGACCTGCATATGTAAATAATAATGTCTAACTACACATAAAATAAACAAATATAACAGCTCGTTTGTTTGTGAACGTCAAAGCTAATTTTGAAATATGTGGAGGTTGTCCTGAAAAGGACAGTGTGCTGTTGGGGTGACTTGGGTGGGAGTGGTGTTGAATGACGATTTATGCCTTGCCACCTGGTGTCTTTTGAGACTTCTTGGGCAGAAGTACGGCTTGGATGTTGGGCAAGACACCACCCTGAGCGATGGTGACGCCAGACAGAAGTTTGTTCAACTCCTCGTCGTTTCTGATGGCCAGCTGGAGGTGACGGGGAATGATTCTTGTCTTCTTGTTGTCTCTGGCAGCGTTGCCAGCCAACTCGAGAACTTCGGCAGCCAAATACTCCAGCACTGCAGCGAGGTAAACAGGGGCGCCGGCACCAACACGCTCAGCATAGTTCCCCTTTCTCAACAGACGATGGATACGACCGACTGGAAACTGAAGTCCAGCCCTGGATGAACGAGACTTGGACTTGCCTTTAACTTTGCCTCCTTTACCGCGTCCGGACATTTTCTTATTGTGTATGTAGAGATGAAACAAGCGCACACACAAATATGCGAGTGAGACAACAGCGCGCCGCTCGACCCATTTTATACGAAATCGAGCGGACTTTCGGTTAGTGAGAAAGCAGCGCTCCGATTGGTCCAACGCGCTCGTACTCTGTCGCGTACTCGCCCGATTTCCACGCCGTTTCGTATATAAAGGGACCGCTTCGTCAGTCCCGTTCAGTTTTGTGTATCACGCACAGATCGAAAACCATGCCGCCAAAAGTATCGTCAAAGGGAGCCAAGAAAGCCGGCAAGGCTAAAGCCGTACGCACCGGCGATAAGAAAAAGAAGAGGAGGAGAAAGGAAAGCTACAGCATCTACATTTACAAAGTGTTGAAACAAGTGCACCCTGACACTGGTATCTCCTCAAAGGCCATGTCAATCATGAACTCTTTTGTGAATGACATCTTTGAGCGCATCTCAGCCGAGGCTAGCCGTTTGGCTCACTACAACAAACGCAGCACCATCACATCTAGGGAGATCCAGACTGCCGTCCGTCTCCTACTTCCTGGTGAGCTGGCCAAGCACGCTGTCAGTGAGGGTACCAAGGCAGTCACCAAGTACACCACCAGCAAATAAAGCAGCCTCCCACGCACCCTTTTTTTTTCTCCCCACACAACGGCCCTTTTTAGGGCCTCCAATTACTTCACAATTATGCTTGAGTAATGCACAATCCAAATGAGACTAGTTTGTTGACTGACTCTGGGAAGAAGAGCAAATGAATTATTGCATCAATAAAACAAGCGTGCAAAACCCGTCCTTTATTGTAATAAATAGCGGGACGAATTACTTTTGTTAGGCCTTGGGTAGTGATAGGAAAGAAAAATTATACTAGAGTGATGTACACATACATGACAAAGGATAGAAGAACACAACACATAACATACGCCAGATATTCCTCTTCAAGTTTACAAAAGCGAGAGCTTGGCGGTAATTCTTAATCTAGTAGCAATAGCAGACGACCGCGCCAACCTCCGAGTACGACTAGAGTTGACCAATCAGAAAGCGAACGCTTAAAATAGACCCACAAAAAAAAAAAAAAATGTGCTGAGAGAAAGCTGCGAGGTTGAAGAAAAAAAAAAATATATATATATATATATATATATATATATATACAGCGGTTGGGTTGGAAAAGAAAGAGTGTTTACTTTGAATTTTCTGGTAGGCCATCAATATTAACTTATCACTTAGCCTTGCAGAAAAACAAAGAAAAAGTCTTTAAAAAAAATAATAAAAATTATACTATATATACATACTAAAGCTCCCAAATAGTGTCTACGGCCATACCACGTTGAAAATACCGGTTCTCGTCCGATCACCGAAGTCAAGCAACGTCGGGCGTGGTTAGTACTTAGATGGGTGACCGCTTGGGAACACCACGTGTTGTAGACATTTTTTTTTTTTTTTTTTCGATATTTAAAAATTATTTATCATTTTCTACATATTATGCCATTAGACGCGCCGCATTTTCTTTTAATTCTAATTTAAGATTAGGGCTGTTTTGTTCTCTAAAGTCAAGCCGACTAATTGTATAGCTTTAATAATAATAATAACGGCTGCTAATTCTATCACTAGGAATAGCTTACTAAATTTATAGTACTGCTATTGAAGATCTTTTGCGAAATCAACGTCGATGTATAATTAAAACAAATGGTCTAAAACACGTGTAAAAAAAATTCCGAGCGAGCTAATGAGAAATAAATTACAAATAATTATGTGGCTGTGTCATAAGGTTGGCATTATACATGCATTTGACTCAAGCTTATTCGTGAAAATTTGGGATGGCCCTGATAAGGGCCGGTGTTTTCTTGACAGGTGTGAGATGCAGCGTTTGAGATGGTTTAACCACCAAAACCGTACAGGGTACGTCCTTGGCGTTTCAATGCGTAGACCACATCCATAGCAGTGACAGTCTTCCTCTTGGCATGCTCAGTGTAGGTGACGGCATCCCTGATGACATTTTCAAGGAAAACCTTTAGGACACCTCTGGTTTCTTCATAGATCAGACCAGAGATACGTTTCACACCACCTCTGCGAGCAAGACGACGGATGGCAGGCTTAGTGATACCCTGGATGTTATCACGCAATACTTTGCGGTGACGCTTGGCGCCTCCTTTGCCTAAGCCCTTTCCACCTTTACCGCGTCCAGACATGTTGATATAGAAGATTTTTACCGAATCGACTGACTGAGCGAAGCGGGCACACTTCCATTTATACTGACGGCGCGCTTGGCTCACTCAACGTGGAGGACGTCGATTGTCATTGGTTACTCCTCGCACTACAGTCCACCAGTGCGAGCCAATCAGGTTGTAGCTCCAAGGCGCTTACATTCACGAATGAATCACTACCGTACCAAAAGAAATCCTCTCCTTTTCCCCTCCCTCCCATCCAAACAACAACAAAAATAGTTCTCCCTCTACCATCCGAATAGGAAGAGTTCTTTCTCAACGATTTATACCCCATCAAACGTAGTTTTAAATATAATGTTATTCATATCTTTCTTGTTTGTTGCAAACTGAAAATTTTGTTTTCTTTTAAATAGATGGGCTCGCTACAAAGAGGGAAACACAAAATATACAACGGTTTATGTGTACCTTGTTTTTTTTTTCTTTTACCACACATGCAAAATATATACATATATTATAGCTACGGTGGTGGCAGTAAATTACATAACGTCAACTCAAAAGCTAATTTAGGAATATGTGTTGGTCCTAAAAAGGACCGTTGATAGCTGGTTTGGGGCCAAGAGGGAGGAGTTTGTTTAAGCACGCTCACCACGAATACGTCTGGCAAGCTGGATGTCTTTGGGCATGATTGTGACACGCTTGGCGTGGATGGCACACAAGTTGGTATCTTCAAAGAGGCCGACAAGGTAAGCCTCGCTAGCCTCTTGGAGAGCCATGACTGCAGAGCTCTGGAAACGCAGGTCAGTCTTAAAATCTTGAGCGATCTCACGGACCAAACGTTGGAATGGCAGTTTGCGGATCAGAAGCTCAGTGCTCTTCTGGTAACGTCGGATTTCTCTCAGGGCGACTGTACCGGGCCTGTAACGATGGGGCTTCTTGACACCTCCGGTAGCTGGTGCTGATTTCCTAGCAGCCTTGGTGGCCAGCTGTTTACGTGGTGCTTTACCACCAGTGGATTTACGAGCGGTTTGCTTGGTTCTAGCCATTGCGAAGTTTCGAGCGACTCGATTGAGATCAAGAATGTCTCAGCGCGCGACCGAGTCAAACTTATATAGGACAGCGTCAGCGCAGTTTTAGACCTGTGCACGACGATTGGTCTATCCGTGAACATCGTTTCTTGATTGGACGTTACATTCTAAGCGCGGCTCGCTGCGTCTCGAAAACAAACTATATCGCCGCGGTACTCTTACTAATAGTAAGAGCTTTTTTTTCCCCCCACCACAAAATTCCTGTATGATCATGAAAAGGAATAAATATTGTCTTTGATAGAGCTAAAGGAACGAAAACAGAAATGTTTAGACGACTCAGTGATGTTATTTACAGGAAAAAGAAAAACATTATCACCACGTTCACTTTATTGAGGCCAACTTGTTGTATTCTTTTCTCCATTCATCATTCATTGGTTTATCTAGAGATTCCTCGTTCTGATTGGTACATTCGTTCTGTACTCGGTTGGCCTAGTTTTAGTTTGCATTGATTGAAGTTTGCGCCAATTTTAATTCTGTGACTTCCCCCCCCCCCCCCCCCCAACCCCATTTTAAGGTTTTGATTACCTATATTAATTTATTTGTTTGTGTGTGTGTGTTTTAAATAATCAACTAAACACCAAAAAAAAGTGTGATAAGGTTATTTTTCCTTTTTTTTTTTTAAATTAGATATTAAAAACCAAAAAAAAAAAAAAAAAAACAACTGATGTTTCTTTTCTTGTGCATAAATGTATTATTAGTTTCTTAATGTAATGTCACAGTTTGATACGCAGCATAGAAGTACTAATTCGCTGTTAGCAAGCCAAGCCATATTATCTTAATTAATTAATTTTTATTTATCAACATCCAAGTGACTTGATTAGACGAACTAATTAATTAAGGAATGAAACATCTGCCTTATAGCCTATGTGTAAGAATTAATTCGTACAGATAATTAAAAAAAAAAAAAAAGTGTGTAAATATAATAGTAATGCGAAACAAAATAAAAAATAATTGGGAAACAATTATGGCAATGGGTGAGCGCAGTGTAAACTCAGTTGCGACCTGCATATGTAAATAATAATGTCTAACTACACATAAAATAAACAAATATAACAGCTCGTTTGTTTGTGAACGTCAAAGCTAATTTTGAAATATGTGGAGGTTGTCCTGAAAAGGACAGTGTGCTGTTGGGGTGACTTGGGTGGGAGTGGTGTTGAATGACGATTTATGCCTTGCCACCTGGTGTCTTTTGAGACTTCTTGGGCAGAAGTACGGCTTGGATGTTGGGCAAGACACCACCCTGAGCGATGGTGACGCCAGACAGAAGTTTGTTCAACTCCTCGTCGTTTCTGATGGCCAGCTGGAGGTGACGGGGAATGATTCTTGTCTTCTTGTTGTCTCTGGCAGCGTTGCCAGCCAACTCGAGAACTTCGGCAGCCAAATACTCCAGCACTGCAGCGAGGTAAACAGGGGCGCCGGCACCAACACGCTCAGCATAGTTCCCCTTTCTCAACAGACGATGGATACGACCGACTGGAAACTGAAGTCCAGCCCTGGATGAACGAGACTTGGACTTGCCTTTAACTTTGCCTCCTTTACCGCGTCCGGACATTTTCTTATTGTGTATGTAGAGATGAAACAAGCGCACACACAAATATGCGAGTGAGACAACAGCGCGCCGCTCGACCCATTTTATACGAAATCGAGCGGACTTTCGGTTAGTGAGAAAGCAGCGCTCCGATTGGTCCAACGCGCTCGTACTCTGTCGCGTACTCGCCCGATTTCCACGCCGTTTCGTATATAAAGGGACCGCTTCGTCAGTCCCGTTCAGTTTTGTGTATCACGCACAGATCGAAAACCATGCCGCCAAAAGTATCGTCAAAGGGAGCCAAGAAAGCCGGCAAGGCTAAAGCCGTACGCACCGGCGATAAGAAAAAGAAGAGGAGGAGAAAGGAAAGCTACAGCATCTACATTTACAAAGTGTTGAAACAAGTGCACCCTGACACTGGTATCTCCTCAAAGGCCATGTCAATCATGAACTCTTTTGTGAATGACATCTTTGAGCGCATCTCAGCCGAGGCTAGCCGTTTGGCTCACTACAACAAACGCAGCACCATCACATCTAGGGAGATCCAGACTGCCGTCCGTCTCCTACTTCCTGGTGAGCTGGCCAAGCACGCTGTCAGTGAGGGTACCAAGGCAGTCACCAAGTACACCACCAGCAAATAAAGCAGCCTCCCACGCACCCTTTTTTTTTCTCCCCACACAACGGCCCTTTTTAGGGCCTCCAATTACTTCACAATTATGCTTGAGTAATGCACAATCCAAATGAGACTAGTTTGTTGACTGACTCTGGGAAGAAGAGCAAATGAATTATTGCATCAATAAAACAAGCGTGCAAAACCCGTCCTTTATTGTAATAAATAGCGGGACGAATTACTTTTGTTAGGCCTTGGGTAGTGATAGGAAAGAAAAATTATACTAGAGTGATGTACACATACATGACAAAGGATAGAAGAACACAACACATAACATACGCCAGATATTCCTCTTCAAGTTTACAAAAGCGAGAGCTTGGCGGTAATTCTTAATCTAGTAGCAATAGCAGACGACCGCGCCAACCTCCGAGTACGACTAGAGTTGACCAATCAGAAAGCGAACGCTTAAAATAGACCCACAAAAAAAAAAAAAAATGTGCTGAGAGAAAGCTGCGAGGTTGAAGAAAAAAAAAAAAATATATATATATATATATATATATATATATACAGCGGTTGGGTTGGAAAAGAAAGAGTGTTTACTTTGAATTTTCTGGTAGGCCATCAATATTAACTTATCACT